GGGGCCCCGCGCGCCGCGCGCTCCGAGCCGCTCTGCGTCCCGCGGTCCCGCGCGGTCTCTGTCACTTTCCCGTCCCCTTGGCGGGTTTCGGGGCAGAAGGCGCCGCGGGGGAAGGGGGCGGGCCTGCCACGTGCGTTCGCGTGCGGGAGCCTGGCCTTCGCGCGGCGGCTGCTGGCACCTGCCTCCTGCGGGGGGGAGCGTTATGCTCCCGCGGGGGGCGAGCCTTACGCTGCGGCTGGGACGGTCCCGCCGAGAGGAGCCGCGCTGCCTTCTGCTCAACACCTTGAGAGCAGTGCTTCGGATACTGTTTCTTGCTCGCTGGGAGGACCCGGGGGGAAGAAAGTGTTTCTGCCTCTACTCTTTGCCTGAAGGATGCTAACAGGGCGCAACGCTTTCCAGATGTGCCCTAAATTTCAGGCTGCGTCAGTGGGCTTGGCGAGAAGGGGGTTGACTTTTTTAAAAGTTTAGATTCCTACACTGATCCCCGAAGATGTAGATCTCTTAACAGAGCCGACTCCTGCTGCGGATGTTGACTGCAGAATATTGAAAAAAATGTAGAGTTTATAATTTTAATGTAGAGTTTATAATTTTAATGATAAAAACATGGAAAGAGTACATATGTGTGCATATATAGGTCTGTGTACATGCACACGTGTACATTTCAAAATTCTGTATTTGCATTTTTGGAAAGAGCTGTTTATTTACTAGCATCAAATTTATTGTTTTGGGTTCTCGCTAAGCATGCTGAGAGTTACAGGTATTTCCCAAGCACCACACATAATTGAACTGATGATCAGAGAAGAATTTTGTGGGTATTATTTTTTTCTAATCACTCAAAGATGACCTAAATTGCTTAGTCATACATTATTACATCTATGTGGACAAATACAAACAGAATATCCTGTGAGTTCAGGATTTTGTATGTGGTATTTGATACTATTAGATCACAGGAAACATGAATGCAAAAACTGACACACATTTACCATAGTTAGATGGTAGTCATAACCCTCTTAATGATGTCAAGGGTTATAAACAGTGTTTACACTCGTTTTAACGTGTTAAATTTTACTGTTCTAAGTGTGCTTCATTTTGTCCTTAGGTGTTGAGTGGGGGTTGGTGTTTCCTGATGCTAACGGGGAATACCAGTCGCCCATTAACCTGAACTCCAGAGAAGCTAGATATGACCCCTCACTGCTGGATGTCCGCCTGTCACCAAATTATGTGGTCTGCCGAGACTGTGAAGTCACCAACGATGGACATACCATTCAGGTTATCCTGAAGTCAAAATCAGGTATTTTAGAAGATGCTTTGCATGCCCTTGTAAACTCGAAGTCATCTGGGAGCTACCAAACTCTCATTTAGCTTGTATGACCTTAAAGGGAGAGCTAACATAGTTCCATTGTCAGATACCTTTATGTATAATAAAATGCATTTTTGGGAATTATTTTCTGAAACATTTTTGAAAGGATGAAATTATGAAGATGCCAGTTTGGTTTTTCTACGCCATGTGATGTTACTCTAACAATCTTAAGTTGGCCAACTTACACCTTGTGGAATTTGTGGAAAGGTGTACACAGGTACCAATCTGCATTTTGTTCTAAATTGTTGATCAGGTGTACCAACTGCATTTTGTCTTACATTCTTGATTAGCTTAAATCATTTAGATAAGTATAATTCTGTTTTACTGCATTATACAACTAAAGATTAGGATTTATTGACATTATCTGGCATTCAAGATAGACTTTCTCAAATTATTTTTTCTACTATGTTAATGACAAGAATTTTAACTAATAGCAATCAAAAATATCCTCTAAACTCAGAAAAGATTTAAATAGCAAACAGAGGTCTTGCTTTTATTTATTTATTTAATTTTTTAAACTCCCCTTCTCTCCGTCTGAACCTATTTGAGATGGATCGGAAGTGTTTCGTGGAAAGGGTTTTGGGCAATTACCAAGGAAATTGGTCTTTAGCTTAAATGTAGGGGAGAGGAAAGCAGAATTCTAAAAATTAGCACTAATATTACGCTACTCATAGTGAATGATGACTCTTATCTCCCCCTTAAAAAGAACGTAAAATTAGGCTATGCTGAGATAATAGGAAGTGCTTAACGGAGACCAGCTGTGCTCAAATTAATTCCGGATTGATAAGTTTGATATTTTAAAACATAAAATCTTCAGGCTGATTTATTAGGCAGGGCAGGTATTCATTACCAACTATGGATTTTTCATTCATTGTGAACGTTACTGAGCTTTAAATTAGAATCCATGAGGTAGTCATAGGTTCATGCAGTCTTCCCTGATGTTCTGAGGTCAAAGAGTGGGCATCATCCAAAACAGAGTCGAAGTTGGATAGGCACTTAGAGAGACAGCTTCAGATGTAAATTTGAATTTAAATTGGAAAATGTGGGAGTTATCTGTGATGGGACATTATGTATTATTTTAAAAACATATAGTAAAGTTATTGAATACTGACTTACCTATAAAAGCATTTTAAGGTAATACATGTGTGTTGGTGTATTGACATACTTTTTTACTTCTGGAAATAAAATATTTCTTTTTAAAAAAAAATCTTTATTTTTTATTGATTTCAGAGAGAGGAAAGAAGGGGGAGAGAGAGATAGAAATATCAATGATGAGAGAGGGTCATTGATTGGATGCCTCCTGCACGTCCCCTACCTGGGCATGTGCCCTGACTGGGAATCAAGCCTTGATCTCCTGGATCACAGGTCGATGCTCAACCGCTGAGCCACACCAGCCAGGCCTTCTAGGCCTATTTTGGATACACATGCTCCAGACCCCTTATTCCCGTTTCCTTGGGGAGAACTTGCTCCTTCAGATGCTCCATCTCCTTTCTGTCACTATAATAATTTCTTCCTCATTGTTTCCCCAGACTTAAAAGAAAGTAACAAAGTTCCATGTCTGGACCAATTTACTTATTTTTTCTAGTGTATTTAAGCTTCTCAAAGGAATAGTTTGCAAGCCCTAGCCAGCGTGACATTCGTTTATTTAATTCAAGTTTTATTTTTATCAAAATAGAATATAAATATAATTTAAATAGTTGACTAGTAGTGTATTTCTGTCTGCGTCTGGATTATACCGTCCCGCTCCCTTGCTCCTACACCTTTTGTCCTGGTGGCAATCAATTTTAACTCTTAGCTGTTTCTCCTCCCGTCACCGCCATACTTCTTAATTACGTGTTTATACCGTCATGCTTTGATATGTAAGGTATCTGTGAACCCCTTTCTCTGAAGATGAGGCTAGTTCTCTTATTACCCTCCTGCGTCATGGTTTTGCTCCCCTTCGTCCCTATACTTAAATTATAATTTTTACTTAAGTTCATGCTCAGTTTTTTTTTATTGTTATGATTGTGTAGCTGTTATTTCTGGCTCTTTGTATAATCTGTTTCCTTTATTGAATAATATGGTTTTTTCCCCCTAGAGTTAATGTAGTTTTGTTTATTTAGTTTGAAAATTGACCTTTCATGATTTTGTTTTCAAAGTCTCTGACACTGACAGATCTTGTGCCAGGACATTGCAACATGCCAGGTTATCCTTCCCTCCCTCGCATCCATCCTTCACCCCCCCCC